AGTAATCACTGTTACAAGACTCTCAAAGTAGTGATATCAGTAATAGAAGAATTTCACTATTATAAGAAGCTTCTGATTATAAATACTATAGTTAATCTTCATAAGTTGTATCTTCTATGAGAAAAAGATCACTGAAACTCAGTTTTTATTTAACTATAGTTATAAGACTATTTCTGAAATTATAAAGAAGAAGACATCTGTCTTTAATCTGATTAAGAGTAAGAGATCAAAGTGAAACAGTATCACTGTATCTGTAAATATCTGTTTTAATCTTGTAAAGACTCTGTAAGCTTCTGAAATAAGAAAGTTCTCACAGTTCTCTCTTCTTAACAATCTTTTCATTCTCTATTTATAGAATGACTTCTTCTTATTTTCACTCTTCAGTATATCTGTAAGAGTCAAGAAGATTCTTATAAATATAAAGATAAACTATCTATAGAAATTCACAAAGCTTAGAAAGATCTGAATTTTATAAATACTAGTTAACTTTGATTATGATAGAATAATCTCAATCTGTGAAGATTTCATCTGAATATCATCTGCAGTGATTATATATTCTAGAAAATTAATCTAATAGATACTGAAGTTGTACTTTATAAGCTTAATATACAGTTCTGTCTTATCTAAGACCTTTAACATGCTTCACACATACTCAGTATGTTCTTTCTTCTTCATGAAGTATATTATCACATTATTCACATATATTATTATAAAGACATTCAGATATATACAAAGTGTTTTATTAATAAAAGACTGAAATATTATAAGAGTATTAGTCAGATCAAAAGATATTACTAGATAATTAAATAATCTCAGTACAGTTCTAAAGACAGTCTTTTATTCATTCTCAGACTGTATTCACAGCTGTGTATATACATTGATTATATTTAGTTGTATGAATATAACAGCTCTTATAAGACAGTTAATCACATTCTTAATCAGAGACAGAGAATAACAGCTCTTTATTATCTTGAAGTTCAGATTATAGTAGTCTATATATAATTTAAAATCTTCATTCTTCTTCTTTATAAATATCACAGAGACTTCTATGAAGATCTGTGAAGATCAGATAAAGTCATTCTTCAGATTCTTCTTTATATAGATCTGTAAGATCTCTGTCTTATAATAAGAGAGCTTATAGATTGATTCTTAAAAGAGTTTCTACTCTTCTATTAAATCTATTATCAGATTCTTCTTATAATGAGAGAGAAGCTCAGCTGTCTTTGCTGAGCTGAACATCTCTGAAAGATCTCAGTATTTCTCTGATATCTGAAGCTCAGTTTTCATAACTGTGAGATTCTCAGACACTTATAAAGCTATTATATAAATAAGCTTGTCTTCTCTAACTAACTCTGCAGTATCAACTGATTCTATCTCTGTAAGTGAGTCTATTAACACTGATTGAAAGTATAAACCTAACTTATAAACAGCTATGTGCAGATTGTGTCTTTAAAGTTATATAAGTTTCAAGTACATATCATCTGTAATATCTGTAATAATCACAGTTTCTATAAATCTTCTTCAGATTTCAGAGAGATCTTGCAATTCAAAGATAGCTCTTATAAGTTTCTCAGTTCTCAGATCTGAGTTCTTATATTCTGCTTATTATAAGAGCAGGTTTTCAGTTTTCATCTTTCAGTCTATTCACTCTGTGAGCTTTAGAAATACTACAGTGATCTGCCAGCGTGGCCCAGTTGGTAAGACTAGTAACCAAGGCCGCACACATTAGGGGTGCGTGGGTTCGAATCCCATCGCTGGCACCTGCCACTTCTTACCCATGAAAGCCCCCATGTAATAGAGGCTGAGCTTAATTAGTAAGGCTTGGTGCGGGGTAGAACTCCCTACTGCAAGTCAAGCCACTAGTTAAGTGAGATCCTGCGAACACTCACCAGGGCCGGCATGAGATGCCAATGTCTCACTATCCTACTGTGCACCTGTCAAGGTTCTAACAATATAGAGCCAAGCCTAATGTAGTGGTTATACACTACTTAAGTGAGTCTCTAACTAGGGCTGTCATCGGAGCCTAGCTCCCTCTCAAATACAGAGAATGATTTTGAAAACCATCTGACTAGCAGGCCTAGACACGCATCTAGGCCCTAGGCAGAGCACTCTGATAGGCTAGAGCCTGCAAGCTCTCTGTCAAGCCCTAATACTGGCAGGGAGGACTGCAGTCATCGAGCCTATGATTAGTCCCTAACACAGGGCGAGGTCACGACGGCTGATTGATAGGCCTATGAGCATCTAATGAGGCCGAGATCGCAACTGGAAGCTTGGTGTGTACCAAGTGGGTGGTGGCAGCCACTAACTAATGCCCCTGGAAATTAGTGGCTGGCCCGAGAGGACGGACGCGGTGGTCGGTTAATTATAGGGGGTTAAATGTAATTAGCTTAAGATGCATCCTGCGGGTGGCTAGCGCCTGTAGTCAATTTTCTTCTTTAAATGTTGAAAAAGTTGATCATGAGAAGTTATCTCTCTGGAGAAAAAAGCTTGAATCTCTTATAGACTTACAAATAAGTGAACTATCAAAAGAGAAAGAATATGAACAGTATTTGAAGAGAATTTCTACAATTAATATAAAAGACTCTATTCTGATTTATTCAGATGACTTAAAAAATGAGAACTTGAATAGATTAGATGCAGGCATTGCTTATACTGAAGATAATATTAATTTTATCTCAGATTTCTGAAATCTAGACTCTGAATGTAAAGTCTTTGATGCTGAACTATTTATAATAGTGAAAGCTTTCAAACTCATTGAAATAAAATCTTATAAAAGAGGAAATTGTTTGAAAGAGACATGAATATTCTCTGATAGTCAAGCTGCTTTAAAAAGACTTAGAAATAGTCAGATTTATAATAATCAAATGAATCTTGAACTGATCTTAAACTCTGTTTTAAAAATTCAAAAGAGAAGAACATCAAAGCTGAGAATTCATCTACACTGAGTTCCTGCTCATATGAATATTCATGGCAATGAATTGACTGATTCAGCTGCAAAAAAGAGTGCAGAATTAAGCAGATCTATTTAAAAAATTATGTTCTGGTCTTTTATAAAGAGAAAAATAAAAGAATCTTGTTTAGATAAGTGAAATGAAAGCTGGCAGAAACAAAAGAAGAGTATACATTATTCAAGATTTGAAACAAAACCCAAGTGGAAATCTTGTTCAATTAAATGTAAAAAGAAAATATTCTCATCTATAATACAGCTGAAACTAGGACATGGCTATTTCAAATCTTATATACAAAGATTTGATGATAGATTTGACTCAATAGAATGCTCATTCTGCAATATAAATGAGAATTCTGAGTATATTATAATGCACTGTGCATTATACAATAGTCTCAGAGCCAGATTGAAAGAGAAGTATGATCTAAATCAATTAAATATGAGATTCTTATTCTCAACTGAGATAGGAATTAAATACTTAATAGACTTTCTATCAGAAACTCAAGCAGCTATAAGAAAATGACTAAATTCAGAATTATCTGAATATGAAGAGGAGGAAATCAATCAGATATAGTCTGTTAAAACAGCTATACACTCTCTTTTAATAATTTGTTTTGTTATAGTTTCTCTTTACTTTATCTTTTTTCTGTATCTTTTTCTTTCAGTTTCTTTCTATCTATCTATTTAATGTGTCTATCTTTGAGACTGTGTTCTTTCTCTCTTTTCTTTTGTCATGATATTGTCAAATGGTTTCAAAGTATTAAAAGATGTTAAAACACTGCAATTTGTGAACAGTTTTTGTATTCTGAGCTGGAATTTTCTGATTTTGCATATCTGAAATTGATGAATGTACAATAGGTAACTTTACAGACATAGAAAAAACCCTGAGAACTAAAGTTCTCAGGTAGATGTCATAGTCTCTGACTGCATACATCTATAATTGAAGAATAATAATAATAATAATACTACAGTGATCTGAGATTCTGAGTTTATCAATACTTCTTATACTTGTGAGATAGCAGTACTGTGATATAATCTCTTTTCATAAGTAAGTATTTTCATTGAGAAAGTAACAGATTCAGATATCAGCTTTAAAATTCTTAAGAAGACTGTTACTGACTCTGTCTGTAACTTCTTAAATTTCTATTTTAATTTATTCAGACAGTTTGCACAGAGATATTCTGATTTAGAATAGATAAAACAGAGTCTCTTTTTCTTAATCTCTCTATTATATACTCTCTGTTTATAAGAGCTTGTAAAGCTCTCTCTCTCTACTCAGCAGTCAGATATGAATCTCTCTATATCTTATCATCTTTTTCTAACAAATCTGTTCTCTGTTATTTTGACTCTTACAGAGTTAGTTGATAATTCACTCTCTACAGATCTGTGACTCTCACAGTGATTTATAAACAGTGAATAAGAGTCATCAGTTTCTTCAGAGTTAAGAACTTAGAGTCTTACTCAATGAGCTTATTCTATATATCTTTATTCAGTCTCTTTATAAATATCATTATTCAGATCTTGTTTCAGAGCTCTGTTTTCACAGATTTTAATTCATATCATAATTTTATAAAGCACTGTGAGTAGTTTTCATCAGATTTCTCATCTCTTTTTCTAATATTAATGATCACAGCTCAGATATTCTCTGTTCAGCTTATAAGGTTCTTTAATTTATTCTCTAAATAAATCTTGAGAATAGATTAGTGAGATCTCTTATAATCATTCTTTAGATAATTCAGTCAGTTCTTAACTTTAGTATAATAGAGATCTGTTATTATATAGATATCAGCTTCTTCATCTTTCATATCACACAGCTGAGCTTGTACATTAATTTCAAATACAAACTTGTAAAAGCTTTTATAGATTGTGATTTAATAAGTAATCTTAAGTAGTTACAACTTAAGAAAGTTTCTTTTCAGTTTATAAGTGTTTCTGAAGATTATATCTAGAGACTCAGTTTGAGAGTGTTTACAGACAGTAAGTATTTCTTATAGAAAAATAGCTTAATTCTGTAGAAGATGCTCAAGAATATTCTTTACTAAGATTGATTCATTTATAAGTTCAGAGACAACAACCGCTTCACCACGAACTCGCTCGATTGTTCGAATAAGAACCCGCCGATAGATCCATCGAAAAGCCCTCGATCATACGAGCATTTTGACCCCATCGCCGACCGCATACCCCGTGTGGTGGTGGAGTTATCCAGCCAAACGTGAACCGGACATTGTTCGAAACTCCTGTGTGGGATTATCCCCCGTTCTCCCCTACCACACCACAACCCCGGGCCAGAGTGCCATACAAATTGTAAGGTGAAGTGACCTAGCCATATGCACCAATCTTCTCGATTTTGGAAGATCCCTGACCTGTAGTTGTGGAGATATCCGAGGAGCGACCTCCGCGAAAACCCTGTCCATCTTTGATGTTCCAAAACACCAACGCCAAGTCTCACCCTCGTACCGCCCTTCTCAATCTGGCCCATCCCCGGCAGAAAAATACAAAAAGATACCTTGGCGATAATATCAAGCACATAATCAATGGACTCTTCTGAAGTGCAACCTCCACGGTCTGTCGCCAGTGTACCTAGACTTCAACACCAAGTCTCACCCTTGTACTACCCCTCTCAATCTGGCCCATCCCCGGCAGAATGATACAAAAAGATACCTTGACAACAGCATTCAATACATAATCAGTGAACAATGAGTCAACAGCACATCAACAACTATAAAATCAGTATATCTCAAGATCTGACTGAGCCTTTGATCCCTGCACAGTGAGATATATTAAATCTAGTTTTAATATCTCAATATTCAATAGATTCTGCAAGGAATTGAGAACAGCAATACTAGATTTCTATTGAATTTGAGAATTAACTCTATATTGATATAATCATTGACAAAGTCTTCTATTTTGAGATATAAATAACCAGTTCCTCTACATCCCGCTGACAATATTTATATTATTATATAGAAACAGACTTATATTCTCTATAATATCAAGACTCTGAAGAGGGAAAGTCTTGATAGAGAGTATACAGTAGTGCATATCTTAGCAGTTTCTATCTCATTCTTCTGCAGCAGTTAATGCAAAAAAAAAAAAAGATCTTAGAAATAGTTTTTTACTTCTCTTGAAAAAGTAAGATGTTTTTCTCTGGGTTTTACACAATATTCTTACAAAGAATTAAAAACAGAGTTGTTTTCTGTCATAATTTCATATTCTTTTAAGTAAGAATTACTTTTTCAGTGGCTGAAGAGCTCTTATTAATACTTAATTCTTTTTTACACTCTTTATTAACTGATTTGAGTTGCACACTTGTTGTGTGAGGAGAATTGAATGATTTAGAATAAAATTGAATAGTTTTAATCAATTTCTCTGCAAAAAATTGATTTATTTTTTGTCAGTTTTTCTCTCAAAAACTGTCATATTATCTGATTTATTATCAATTGATATCATACTTTTCCTCACTGTATCTCAAGAAAGAGATTGTAAAGATTTTATTGATTTATCTTAAAAATCAATTTTAGTTTATTAGATTCTCTTCAAAAATCTAATCTAGTTACTGAACTAGTGTGAAAAAAATCAGATGTTTTGTACACAAAAGTCTTTTATTCTTTTTTTGAAACAGTCTGATCAACTTTTCAATTGAAAACAGACTTAGAAATATCTCAATTGAAACAGTCTGATCAACTTTTCATTGAGTGAAAACAATGAGTTCAAAAATACACTCAGTTAATGTGGAAAAAGATGCTTTCTCAAATGCTATTCCTTAGATTGAAATTCTGAAGAGAAGAAAGAAAGAAGAAATAGAGAAACAACAAGTTCTTGAAATACAGAAACTTGAAAAAGTAAGCAAGATTCTTGAAAAGCAGTGTCTGAGTGAGATGAATGAAGAAGTTCTGTTAATTCTTCATGCTCAGGCTAGATAACTACAGAAGATGATCAAGTTCAAACTTAGAATCTCAAACACAGTTCAAAAATCCTTGAAAATTTCTAATATAATCACTGACTCTTTATCTTGCTCTTCTTCTTTCTTTTTTCCTACTTCTTCTTCTTCTTTGAATCAGAAGAAAACATATGCTCAAGTAGCTGAATCTGCTGTGTCTACACCTGCTGTCTCAAAACCTGCTCAAAATCCTGAGAAAACTGAGAAGAATACTGCTCATGTCTCTATTCATGGAAAAGTGGAAAAGAAAATGCAAAAAGAGAAAAACTTTCAAATCTTCAGAAATAGAAGACTTATTCTCAAAGTCTCAAACCAGGACATTCTGCAAAGAAACAAGCTAAACTCAAATCTCATTTTCAGAATCAGAAATGAAATTAATCAGCAGTTCTTTTCTCAGTTAATGACTGATATTGAAGTTCAAAAACCAGTTATAGCTTTAATTGAGTCATCATTCTTTGAAAACTTCATCATTCTGACTACAATGCCTGAATTCAGTGCTGAATTCCTTATTCAGAATGAGAATCTCTGAAAGTCAGCAGTAGAATCTTTACTAAACACAACAATTCTATCTGAAAGAGATGAAAAGTGAGACAAATTCATTCTTCATGATATTTCAGTTGAAATTTTTGACTGTGAAGAAGAAATGCTACTTCTCAAAAATGAATTAAAAGAATACAACTCTATTCAACTGAGAAAGAAGCCTGTATAACTAAATTCAATTAAGTTCAGACAAAGCAGAAGAAATGCCTCTGTTCTAGTATATATAAAAACACTTGAACAGTCAAAGATCTCTGAAGTAAGAGTAGCAGGTTTGAAAATGAGAGTTCATGAATACAAAGACTCAAGAATGAATCTCAAAGCTCAAACACAGTGTTCAAACTGTCAAAGATATGAACACTTTGCAATCTCATGTTTTAAAGACTCAAAATGTGCATTCTGTGCTAGAGATTACAAAACTAGTGAGCATAAATGTGAAACATGCTCAAAAAGAGATGAAATTTATCAATATACTCTGCTTAAGTGCTCTAATTGCAAAGAAAAACATGCATCTAGCTCAAAAGAATGTGTGTTTGCTTCTAGAACTCAAAAGAACTGAAGAAAAGAAGAAGCTCAAAGTCAATCTAGAACTGAAGAGAAAAGTCAAGTCAGTAGACTTACAACTGCAAGCTCAAAAAGAAGAAACTCTCAACTATCTAAGTCTTCAAACTTCAATTCTCCAGCTAAATGTAAACAGAATTTGAATTCTCAAACTTCTGTTAAGATTAGAGAATTGAGAAATGACTCTGATGATAAACTAGATATAATGCAAGCAGTTGAGATTTCTATTTTTCAGAACAGTTATAATCTACTATCTGATAATAGTGATTAGATTCTACTCTACTCTCTTTTAGTATGAATATACAACAAAAACAACAAAAAAAGTTTAAAAACTCTTCAAAAATCACATTTATTCAAAATAATGTGAATAGAAACTCAAATTGTATTTATTCTTGTCTTCAAATTGCATTTGAATAAAAAGTTGATTTTATACTGCTTCAGGAGCCGAATTTTGATGCTGAGCAAAAATATGTCATTTCTCATTTAAGCTACTACTGCTTTTTACCTCAAAAGTCTGAGATAAAGTCAAGAGTAGTGATCTATGAAAGAAAGAGATCAAGATATCAATTTAATCTAAGATTTGATATCATGTCTGACTGTGGTTCGGAAGAACGTACGACCGTCGGATAATAACGCGGCCGCTTCCGAACTACTAGCATACGCGTATGAGTGTAAAGGGGCCATAGTGGCTGCTAATTAAATTAGCGTATGATATTACAATATATAAGAAGCTGGTGTATGCCTGTAATCATACACTGACTTAAGCAACCTTTGAATCACATCTGATAGCATGTCTAAAAACTGGTGAGAAGTGCAGACTTCTTCAGAATGTGATAATTCTATCTATAAAGTGATTCATAGTTATCATGTCAGTGTGGTTCTAGAACACCTCAAAAGATAGCATATGAAGAGTGATGAGTAGAAGAGCATCTGATTGATACTGCTTTACTTGTTAGGGAAAAACTCCACACTCAGATGAATGCCACATATGTGAACAGATGAGATGTGAGAAAAGAAATGAGAGCAGTGAACCAGATTCAAAGAAGACTGCTCTTCACTCAAAGAGATAAAAGAAGAGGTGACTATCATCAGAGTCATATGATGATAACAGAAATCATATAACAATATAGTGATAGAATAATATAGTGATATAGTGATATAACAATAGACATTGTACAATCAATCAGAAATCAATCACTGAAATGAATACCTTCTCTAGTTAATACAAACAACACTCTTCTCTGCTATCTGAACTGAAAGATATGCAGAATCTCTTAGAGAGTTTACTTAAAGCAGTAAGAAAAGCAGCTGAGACTGCTGAACTAGAATCAAAGCTCTGTACATGTACAAGAATTCTAAACAAGATTGAGGTCTTGTGTACACAGTGACAGGCTGAGACAGAAGTCAAATAACAATTGACATTCACTGCAGATTAAGCATTCACTATGAAGAGCTTCACTGATGCAATTGCCATCATCAATAAGAATAGAGAAAATCAGATCTTAGGCCTGCAGCAGAAGATCAAACATTTACACAGACAGACAACTACACTGAATCTGAAGATTTCATCATGATTGTTCACAATCTTTTCAGAAGTATACACATCATCAGAGATCACTGCACAGGATGAGAATCTGAGTATGAAATATATCAAGCTGAGAGATCTGCTGAAGTTACTAAGCTTCAATAGTAACTGAAAAAATGATGCTGTAATCAGCTGACTAAGTCAGATGTAATTATATTATCAAATTGAATATAAACTCACAGACAGACAGTTAACAGAATTTCAACAAGTCTTAAGATCTGTCATATTTCTACACAGAAAAGCAAAGTCATTGTGAATAACTGATGAAAAGATGAATCTCACAGATCTGAAGCAATATTCATTCTCACAAACATGAAATGAGTTTTTCAAATGAATCTTGCACAACTTTGAGAAAGTGAATATATAAGATAAGTATTATGAACACTTCACTGAGTGTAGATAAGTGAGTAATCTTACATTGTACTTTACACACTTCAGCTTATACTATCTCACATTGAATGAAGAGCTTTCAACATCTTTCTATTTACAGATCTTCATTCATAATCTTACACCTGAGTTGAGAGCAGAATGAAAATGCTTAACCTCACAGTCAGACACAGTGAAGAAAGCATACAATATCCTCATTGTACAGAAACAAGTGAGTCAATTGCAACAGAAAATACTGCAATCAAGTATACTTCAGTGAAGAACAGATAATCAGACTTCTATAATACAAGTCACACACTCAGACATGATGAATCTAGATCTGAATGTCATTGCTAAAGCACTGAATCCTCTGAAAAAGAGATTCTCTGAGTGAAAACCTTGATGTTGTGAGTATCAAGCTTGCTTCAACTGCAGACATCAAAATCATGATGCAAAAGATTGCACTCAGCATGTGCAGTCAAGAGAAGCAAGAGAGTTAAAAAACTAGCAGAATCAGTGAGCTCAGAGACACTCACTGATATTCTATGAAAAGTCTTCAAAGTGAAAGAGATGCTTATGTTAGATGACTCTCTGAATTCTGTGAATGCAAAGAAGAAGCAGGCTTCTGAATGAGATGTGAGTGAGAATGATGAAGTGAACACTCATCTTAATACCTTGAGACCTGAAATGTTAATATATAAGAGACACTTGAGTAAGAATTGAGAGATGGCTGCAAAAGTGTTAGCAGACACAGAAGCTTCTATACAATATATTAATGATTATATAATCTGAAGATTGAAAGAAGTTCACTGAGTGAAGAATTCTCAATATATAAGATTATCTGATAACTGATATCTGATATTATCTGTAAAAGTAAGAGTTCTCTTGCACTTTGAAGAATGATCTTACTATATTTGAGTGTGAGAGCTGCAGAACATGAAATACAA